GGGGCTGAGCACACACAGCTCCCACTGAGCTCAGCTGGAGCCGGGTTTGCCCAGCACGTCTGAAAGCCAAGCCCCAAAGCTCAGGGGGGAATCTGTATCCGGCCGTTCATTGCCTGGGTCTGCCACGGATGGTCCTGCTGGGTTTAGCAAGGCGCACAGTTTCCACTGCGGTACCTGTGGCACGACACCCCGGAACCGACTACTCCCCCGTAGCCATAATAGCCTGGGTAGCCGCAGTATCCCCCATTCCCATAATATCCTGGGTAGCCGCAGTATCCCCCATTCCCATAATAGCCTGGGTAGCCACAGTATCCCCCATGAGCATAACGTCCTGGGTAGCCCCAGAACCCTCCGTTACCATAATAGCCTGGGTAGCCGCAGTATCCCCCATACCCATAAAAGCCTGGGTATCCCCCGTAACCGTAACGGCCTCCATAACCATAACCCCCATAGCCGAACAACCCTCCGTAACGGCCTCCATAGCCGTACAATCCCCCGTTAGCGAAGGAGCCCCCGTAGCCGGCTCCCACCACAGGTTCTCCTACGGCTGCCACTTCGCTCTGCTGAGGGAAGGTGCTGAGAACTGGTCCGGGGAGGGTCACCACAACCGGGGAGGGTCTGATCACCACTTCGGAGTCAGGGCACTGCCGAACGCACGGCTCGTTGCAGGTACCAGAGACGGGGCTGGGCCGGGCCACCCCGCATTCTGGATAGCACAGGCTGGAGAAAGCCATCTCGGTGGGATGCAGGTGAACCTGGAACACACAGCAGGGGGCAGAGTGAAGAGAAAGTTCAAGTGACAATGGAAGAAAGGTATCAAAGCTGGGTTACTATTGCAGTGGGCTGTACATGGGGCTCAAGAGAGAGGAGAGGGGATTTTATCCCTATGTTCTCCTAAGAAATCACTAAGGACACCTCAGATGGGGTGAAATGGACTCAGGTCCCCTGACTTCCATGAAGTGACACTCACACACTCGATCTGAGGCAAATCGCCGACAATGGGTATTTCTGCTGAGAGGAACACTGGAATTGCTCAAATGGGTCATGCCACCTGTCAGGTGAATCCATTCTTGTGGCTCCATGAGGGAGGAGTCCTAACTGGCTCTGAGTAAAGTAGAAGACCACTAAATTGGTCCTATCTGAACATCCCTGGAAAGCTTCTTCCTGTCCAGCTAGAGTGCAAAAGGGTTGACGGGGATTCTAAGGCTACTTAAAAGATTTAAACACCCTAATTCTATTTCCAGTTAATAGCAAATATGCTTCCCAATTACATATGTTCTTCTAAATGTCCCACCCTTAGTTTCAAAGGGTGAATCCACCATCTCTTTCAACTGGGTAACAATACAAGTTAATTTTCGAAGAACAGCCAGATCCCAGGTAAAAATCCTAGCGAGTCCATGCAAGATTTTCTTTTACATGAGAATAGCCCCTTCTGTGATATCTCTGGAGTTAGAAAGAGATTGAGTCGAATCGGACTTACCTGGTTCACCGGGGAGATGATGTCCAGAGAAGTGTTTAGAGGAGCCCTGAGTTGAGAGCTCTTTTATACAGCTCCTTGGACCGCCTGGAGGATGCTTGTGGGGGAGGTCCTAATAAGTTACCAAACAACCTTAATTGCTTTCGTAGGTCCTCCTGGATGGAGCTGATTCCCTCAGCGTTGGGGATTATTGGACTAATCTCAGCATCGGCGGGTGTGACATGCACGTTGTATCTTCAGCCTCCTTTCATCTTCAGATTGTACGGCCAGCAGCATTTCTCCTGTCCTTGCAGTGACTTTATTGGTGCTGCAATGAGGACGAATGTCAAGGTGCTTCTGAGCGGCACGAGTAGCACAGCTGGTTTTCGTGAAAGGAATTCCATTTGGTTCTTTCAGTTCACATTAGTCGTGCTTAGGGGCTCTGGGCAGTTCATTCTAACCTATGAGGATGGAGGGAGCCATTTTTATGCATTCTCGCCCTAATCGCTCATATCCAAATCCCACTGCAATCCATGGGAATTGTTCCATTGCCTCCAGACTGTTTCTTGTCAGGATCTTGAGTCTGAAATTTGCTCGTTGGCAGTACGATGCCGATAGAGAAGTTTAGTCGGGTTTTTGACTTTGCAAATGGGTCCTAGCAGGGAGTTAAGAGGAACATGGGCCTTTCGGATGGCCCTGTGTCCTGGGATGAAGCTTACTCCATTGTGAGTAAAACTGGACCTAACGTTGAACCTCCACAAGGGGCCAGAAGGGTGTCTCAAAGGGTAGCCCAGAGCGGATTTGCTCATGGGTGATGGGGTGGGAGGGCGGAGCGGGAAAGGAAGCAGAGCTTGTTTACAGAACGTGATCGAATTAGACGTGGAACCTCTCCTCTCCCAGAAACCATCTCTCCGTCCATGCACAGCCCAGAACCTGAGGTCTTGTAAGACAAAGCAGCTGAGTGAGCCCAGCAAGAGACCCAGGAGAGATGAAAATGACCCATTTCTGGGGAAGGAGGTGATGGCTCTGAGATGGGATTTGACATAACGACTGACCAACCGCAGGGCATGTGGCAGGAAGCATTCTAGGCTGTCTGCAGCAGTGGGTGCCATGTCCAGGGAAGGGAGCAGAAGGGTCTTGCTTAGATTTAAAGGTTCCCAGACTCTTTGAAAGTGAAGCAACTGTGTTAATTTACACCTAGACAGAGCACCTTCATTTTCCATCCCACCCAACACATATGAGCCACAGAAACCAGCTCTGACCACAGAGGCTCTTGTGGTCCCACTCGGCGCTGCTGAAGCAAATCGCTGAGAATTGGTCCCAAGAGGTGACACCAACCAGCAAGAGTCAGATCCCCACGTCCGAGTCATGGCTCATTGCAGCGGATGGCACCTGGACGGGGCCGTTCTACTCCACCACATCTATTAGAAATACCAAATTGGGAAGCATGTTAGAATGACAATGGAATAGCCCCAAATTGTAGACCTCGAATCATGACCTGCTTAAGGGAATGACACCAGAGACCTTGGCCTCCATTTTGGGCGAAGCGACTCTCTGACTCAGCCCAGAGGCCTCTAATCCCAACAATTATCTCGGACTTCTTACAGCCTTGTAAAAAGGTTTGTACCTTTGGATCTAAGCCTCAGCAATGAAAAGCTGGCTGGAAGGAGGTGATGGCTCTGAGATGGGATTTGACATAACGACTGACCAACCGCAGGGCATGTGGCAGGAAGCATTCTAGGCTGTCTGCAGCAGTGGGTGCCATGTCCAGGGAAGGGAGCAGAAGGGTCTTGCTTAGATTTAAAGGTTCCCAGACTCTTTGAAAGTGAAGCAACTGTGTTAATTTACACCTAGACAGAGCACCTTCATTTTCCATCCCACCCAACACATATGAGCCACAGAAACCAGCTCTGACCACAGAGGCTCTTGTGGTCCCACTCGGCGCTGCTGAAGCAAATCGCTGAGAATTGGTCCCAAGAGGTGACACCAACCAGCAAGAGTCAGATCCCCACGTCCGAGTCATGGCTCATTGCAGCGGATGGCACCTGGACGGGGCCGTTCTACTCCACCACATCTATTAGAAATACCAAATTGGGAAGCATGTTAGAATGACAATGGAATAGCCCCAAATTGTAGACCTCGAATCATGACCTGCTTAAGGGAATGACACCAGAGACCTTGGCCTCCATTTTGGGCGAAGCGACTCTCTGACTCAGCCCAGAGGCCTCTAATCCCAACAATTATCTCGGACTTCTTACAGCCTTGTAAAAAGGTTTGTACCTTTGGATCTAAGCCTCAGCAATGAAAAGCTGGCTATTCCTCTGATCCATTTGAACTGTGTCTTCTTTAACAGTGAGGGTAATTCTCCTCAGAAATGACAGGGGGGGTTTATTTTCATCTTTTCCTTGAATACGTCATGGAATTCAAGCCTCAAACCCTTGTTTGAAGTCACAGCAGCAGATGTGGAGTTTTCAAGCGTGTTCATGGAGAGAGAAGGAATTTAAAAAACTAAAGAATTGATTTGTAACCAGGAACATTTTTGGTGAAAGGCAATTTAATTCTGTTCAAGAGTAAATTCCCGCCCCTGAGATATCAACGGAAATGAAGGTTGTGAAATCGAACGGCAAGACTCTCGATCGCTGATCATTGTTCACAGATGGATCAAGGAGGTTTCACCCAAAATTCTCCCCCAAATCATCAAAACATAATTTACAAATAAAGTTCCAGAATGAGCCTCTCTCAGAGTTATGCTCAGGTCAGTGACGTATCTAAAAGCACCAGTTTGGTCCAGGGGATACACGTTACTGTTTGGCATGAATAGTCCCCAACTACTGGGGTTTATTTCTGACTCTGCCATTCACCCTCTGTCCGACCTTCACCTGAATATGCCTCCACGTACCAATGCGGCAAACAGGTATAATTGTAACTTTCAGGGCGGATTGTCCAAGGCTTCTTCTGAGCTCAGTATTTCAAAGCACCTTGCAAACACTCATCAAGCTTTATACAGCCAGAAAGATGAATAACTAAAGTAACAATAACTTTTTACTGGGGCTATATGTTCTAACACTGAAAATTTAGACTCACTTGGAAAAGTCCTGTCGAGGGCTCAGATGCCAGTCCAGTGCCTTCGAAACTGGGCCTGTTTGATTTTCATTCAATGCACCTTTTCTCCTTTATGTCTATTTTACAGCGTAAGGGTAGATACTGAGCTCGTGGGGAAGGAACACTTCTAGCAACTCCAGAGTGAAGAAAAGTGCTTTACCTACTCCTGGTTAGAGAAATTTTGTTGGGAGTGCATCTTTCTCTGCATGCTGTGCACCTCCGCCAACATACCGAGCCAACATACCGAGCCAACATACCGAGAAATCTACGGGAATCATGCCGCCCTGCATCTCCACCTACGAACTGGGTCTTGTGAACTGGACCAGACAATGGAGGTTCAACCTCTACCTCATTCTATTGGTCTTCAGGTTGAATTGCTTTTCCATTTGTTATCATCCAATATCAATATGGGATTCCGCATCTCTTAACCAAAAGAGGCCTCCAGTTGTGGATACCCACAATGTGGTGGCACAAGGCAGGAAAACGTGTGGTCTGTTATCAACAAATATTGAACATGAACAGCGGCTGTTTGCTTCAATGGGAGTTTTGAGTACTGAGCGCTTAAGAAAAATAGGACATGTAGCTGGTACTGTCAGGCATCTGAAATCACTGGCTCATGTGGAAAGCGGTTGAGTTAGCAGCTCTCATGAGGAAGATCATTGGAATATTTTTCAATCGTGCATGAAATGCTTTCACTGGAATTCAGATGATCAAAGTTCCCAGGCCAGCCAATTTAAAAGAAAAGAAAAGATCGAGGTAGATATTTCAGAGAGGAGCCTCTGTGAAACTTGTCATCCTAGGATCCTAGAATCCTACAGGCTGGAAGAGACCTCAGGAGTCATGGAGTCCAGCCCCCTGCCCAAAGCAGGACCAACCCCAACTAGAGGAGAAAGGCTGATTAATGGCAAACGATTTATTCTTGCACAGTTCTAGTCTTTAATGCAGCAGCTGTAAATTCCTTCTTGGTCCTGATGTATCTCAAAGGGGAAGGAGGAGTTGAGAGGTGTCCCTTGATGACACGGACAGAATGATTCTTGCAGCTCTCTGGCGTAAGTGGAGACTGCAGGGGGTTTACTGAATTTCTTCACATTGGGCGACGATGTACACTCACATACGTCAGGGTATTGCCCAGCAATTGAGGGAGATCCAATTGACAGGGAATAGAGGGAAAAGTTCTTCAATGGGCAGGTAATTCCAGAACAACTATGT